TATATATTTATTAAGTGCAGAACCGGTACATCAAAAATAGAACCATAACAACACAGCGAAGGTAAATTAATAATAGAGCCGAACCCCATATCATCAATTAGTGACCACCAAAACATCTCCATAAAAGCTTTCTACCCCGAAATATTTCTGTATCCTCAAATTATACAGGCTCTATATGATACAGTCATAAAGCCTATGTTCTAGATGTTACCTTGAAGAGATCAACTGTAAGCCATTAAATGATACTCCTATGCAGGCTTTAGATCTTAAGGTCTTACAGGCTTGTGTCTTGAGTATACTAAGGTTATCTTGTCTTTCTCAATATATGCAGGCCTTAAGTCGTTGGGTCTTCGAGTCTATGGTACTCGGGTTACCTAGTTTCATAGAAGACTTTCGGCCTACTCAATGTTGCTTCTTTTCTGCACTTTGCAGGTCTCTCGGACACAAAGCTACATGAGATCTTTCTGGATGACAAGGAAATCAAGCTGAGCTGGATGGTTGACTGGTATAAGCAGGAGGTGCTTTTCCATTTGCAGAATGCGTTCAATGAGCAGCATCGTTGGTTCTATTTGGGCTTTTCGAAACGTGGCGGCTTGGCCGATGCAGATATTTGTTTCTTTGAGAATCAGAATGGCTTCTTCAATGTGGTCACCGACACCTACACCAGCCCCGATGGTCATTGGGTGCGTAAGGACTATCAGCAGGACTGCGAGGTCTTCAAAATGGACGAATTCACGCTGGCCTTCAAGCGCAAGTTCGATACCTGCGACCCGCTCGATCTGCGATTGCATGTAGGTGAAACAATATACTTCCAATTTGGAAAACTCTCTGCTATATGGGCTGTCCTGCTTTGCTTTGCAGGAGGGCACCATGTACGTGGTATGGGCACGCGGCGAATCGGAGCTCGCTCTGGAGGATCATCAGTTCGCGTTGCCCAATGTGACGGCTCCACACGAGGCGGGTCTGAAGATGTTGCAGCTACTGCGCGCCGACAAGATCCTCATTCCCGAAACGTAAGTATGGCGAGGCTTCCCTTTAGCCTTGAGGGGGATGGGTCTTACGCTCTTGGCTATTCCTCAGCGACTTGGCGCAAATCGAAATCACGCTGGAGCAAGCGCCGGTGCCCAGTCAAGAGACCACTTACTGGTGCCATGTGCAGCGTTTGGACGACTTTGTCAAGAATCGCATGCATATCGTGCAGTTCGAGCCAATCATCAAGTCGCCCGGCATTGTGCATCACATGGAGATCTTCCACTGCGAAACGGACGAGCACGCTGAGATTCCACTCTACAACGGCGACTGCGAACAGCTGCCCCCGGCAGCCAAGGTCTGCTCCAAGGTAATGGCACTGTGGGCCATGGGCGCCAGCACCTTTACGTATCCACCAGAGGCCGGCCTGCCAATCGGTGGCTCCGGCTTCAATCCCTACGTGCGGCTCGAGGTGCACTTCAATAATCCAGAGCTACTGGAGGGTGAGTAAAGAGAGAAAACTAAAGAGTTCGTGCAAAGATCAGAGGAAAATAATGGAGTAGAAGGAAAATTGGGCTTGAGATTGGAATGAAATGAAAAAGTTATTGCAAAAATCAGAAGAATTATTTTGCTGAGCTGATAAAGAAGAAAATCCTCAAGATTTTCATCTGTACTAAAGTATTAAGAACTATAACGGAAAAGTTAAATATTTAGTGTTCAATAAAAGATTTTAGAAAACTCGATTAAGATCAAGAAAATCCTTTATGTGTCGATAGTGATATGTAGGTGCCTAGAGTCTAGGTGTGAGATCAAAGACTTTAGGCTTTATTTATAATTATATAAAGTTT